CGCCTTGCCTTCTGCAAGGTGAGGAGCCTTGGCTGGGACCCGCGTCCTGGGCGCCCTTCGGCCCCCCCCCCCCCCCGCCGCGCTCCTCCCCCTCCTCCCCTGGTGCCCTCAGGCTGCCGGGACGTTGAGAAATGTCTGTGCACTAACCCAGAAAATTTTTTTTTAAACGGGCTTGGTTTTCCTGATTGCAAAAATAAAACCTGCTCCTCGTAGGACGTGGGGAAAAGCCAGAAGAAGGAATTTAGTTTCCCAAAGAGTTTTCTTTTTTTCCAGTTTACTTTCTGGGGAAGAAACGGAAGCCTCTTCGCCCTGGTGTCAGCGCAGAGGCAGATGCTAGACCCCAGCCCAGCTCTCTGCGGTGCTCTCGGGCTGAGACTGCCGCTCACTTCCCTCTGGGCCTCTGCAGGGATTTCCCCATCAGAGGAGCTGCAGGCGTTTGCCCTCCTTGCTGTGTGGTCTTGGGCAGGTTATAGGACTCCTCAGAGCCCCTACCCTTCCTCTGCAGGGCGGGCAGTAGTGTTTCCAGAGTTGTTCTGAGGCCTGGATGCGGGAGGCACGGGCTACAGCTGAGCCAGGAAACAGGCCTGGCTTCCCCTTACTCTGCCTCAGTTTGCTCCTCTGGAAATGGGAATAATAATAGTAGCCCCACAGCTGGGCATGGTAGCGCACGCCTGTAATTCTGGCTACTCGGAAGGCTGAGGCGGAAGAATCGCTGGAGCCCAGCAGGTCGAGGCTGCGGTGGCCGGGAGCGGCCACTGTACTCCAGTCTGGGCGACAGTGAGACTCCAACTCAAAATAATAATAATAATAATAATAATAATAATAACCCCCCTTCGGTGTGTGGTGGGGATTAAGTGAGGTCGATAGCGTAAAGCGCTTGGCTCCATGTAGGACACAGAGCACCAACATGCTTGGTAGCTCTTGACACACAACAGGCCGTTTTCTCCAAGTCTCACGCTGGTGGCCAGGAGCCCAGGCCATCCCCAGGGCTGTGTTGTCCTGATGGCTTCCTAGTCCCCGCCACTATCCACTTCCCAAATCATCCCGCCTCACCAGCTCCCCATGGTGCCAGGCTCTGACCCGCCTGTCCCCTCAGCCCTGGTGTTCTGGTCTGAGACTGGGTGCCGGGTGGGGAGGGGTGGGCTTTGGTGGAGACCCCTGGGGTTCAGGAAGGGGCGTTCAGGTCTGTGTGCGGGGCGAGCAGGGCCCTGCCTTCTCCGGCGACTCTTTGCAGAACGTGGGTGTCCACATCAGCCTTCCTCTCATGGGGGAAGGGGAAGCAACTCCTTGGCTGGGTCCCAGGGTCTTCAGTGACTCTGTCACTGCTTCTCACCCCGCCCTGCAGGCCGCTGGAGCTGCCCCGGTCTGGAACTGGACGGCTGCAGAAGGGGAAGCCTGGAGTGAGGGCCAGGCCCCAGGCTGATGGCCAGCAGGGGGCGGAGCCTGGGCTGGGCACTGGCCTGGCTCTGCAGGCTGCCAGTGACGGAGGCTGTGTCTACAGGGGCCCATGTCAGAGCCCGGTGTCCAGCCCCAGGTGTGAACTGGACCCCTGTGGTGGATGTGAGTATCCGGCAGGAAGCCGGGGTGGGTGGGGCTTATTCCTCCAGTTGGTCAATATTGACAGAGTCCGCTACACGCCAGGCAGGACTGAACCCTGGGATGGGCCAGGGAACAGTGCAGACAGAACCACGCCCAAAAGGAGCTGCCAGTCCCCTGGGCAGACAGCCTGTTTCAGGTGGTGACGTGCTAAGTGTCAGATTACCAAAGGCCTCATAGGCTGCAGCTAGGAGGGGAGAATTGTTTTATGACACTGGGAAGCCAATGGAGGGTTTTGAGCTGAGAGATGCCAAAGTCTGGTTCTTTCTTTCTTTTTTTGAGTGGGAGTCTCACTCCATTGCCTAGGCTGGAGCGCAGTGGCATGCTCACAGCCACCCCAGCGTCGACCTGCTGGGTTCCAGCAATCCTTCCGCCTCAGCCTTCCAAGTAGCCGGAACTTCAAGTGCGCGCTACCACACCCAGCTAATTTTTAAATTTTATTGTAGAGATGACATCTTGCCATGTTGCCCAGGCTGGTCTCGGGCTCAGGCAATCCTCTCGCCTTGGCCTCCCTGCCAAAGTGCTGAGATTACAGGCTTGAGCCACTGTGGTTATTTCTTCAAGGGATGGCTGTGGCCGCTCTGGGGAGAATGAGGTGAGGGTTGAGGGCTGCAGCAGGAGGCCAGTGTGGAGGCTCCTGCAGCCTCCCGGGTAAGGGATGGTGGTGTGGGAGATGGGACAGAAGTGGGCGGGCTTGGACTCACTGGCGCGGGCACGGTGAGCCAGATGTCCTGATGCGTTAGGCGGCGGGAGGAAGAGAGGTGGGATGGCTGCAGGTTTCTGGCCTGATCCACTGCAGGGCTGGTACTGCAGCTCACATGGTGAGCACTGGAGGAGGAGCATGGAGGGAGTGCTGGAGGAGGAGCACAAAGGGAAGAGCACGGACAGAGGAGCACTGGATGAGCACAGAGAGAGGAGCATGAAGGAAGGAGCAGCAGAGGAGGAGCACTGGGGGAGGAGCACTGGGGAGAAGTGTGGAGGGAGGAGCACTGGGGGAGGAGCACTGGGAAGGAGCACAGAGGGAGGGGCGCTGGGTGAGGAGCACGGGGAGCGTGGAGGGAGAAGCACAGAGGGAGGAGTGCTGGGGGAGGAGAACTGGAGGGGAGCAGAAAGGAAGGAGCCATGGGGAGGAAGCATGGAGGGAGGAGCACTTGGGGAGGAGCACAGGAGGCATGTGGGGAGGCACAGCAGGGAAGGAGCATAGAGGGAAGACCACCAGGGGGAGTGTGGAGGGAGGAGCACCAAGGAAGGAGCACCGTGGGAGGAGCACGGGGGAGGAGCATTGAGGAGGGGTGTGGAGGGAAGAGCACCAAGTGAGGAGCACCAGGGAGAAGCAGGGAGGGAGAAGTGCTGGGGGAGCAGAGGGAGGAGCCCAGAGGGAGGAGCATGCAGGGAGGAGCAACAGAGGAGGAGCACTGGGGGAGGAGTGCTGGTGGAGGAGCACTAGAGAGGAGCAGGAAGGAAGGAGCACTGGGCGAGGTGTGGGGAGGGAGGAGCACCGGGGAAGGAGCCTGGAGGGAGGAACGCTTGGGGAGGAGCATAAGAGAAGTGTGGGGGAAGGAGCACAGAGGGAGGGCCACTAGGGGAGGAGTGTGGAGAGAGAAGCGTGTGAGGAGGAGCACCGAGGAAGGAGCGTGGAGGGAGGAGCCCCAGGGGAGGAGTGCGGAGGGAGGAGCATGGAAGGAGGAGCACCGGGGGTTGGAGTGCCATGGGAGGAGCATCAGGGAGGAGTTTGGGTGAAGGAGCACAGTCCGTAGGGAGAGGAGGTCTCAGGAGCGCCCGAGAGAGCATGGCGAACTCTTGCCTGGGAGTTTCTTTTCCCTTTTTTTTTTTTGTTGAGTTGGAGTCTGTCACCCAGACTGGAGTGCAGTGGCCACTCCCGGCCACCGCAACCTCGACCTGCTGGGCTCCGGCGATCCTTCCGCCTCAGCCTT